AAGATAGTAGTAAAATTTAGTTTACTCGATTATATGTTTCAAGCGCTGGTCAAACGAGAGTGAGAGTTGATGAGAGTTGAGAAGCGAGAGTTTGCATGAGAGTTGAGAAGTGAGAGTTTGCATGAGAGTTGATGAGAGTTGAGAAGCGAGAGTTTGCATGAGAGTTGATGAGAGTTGAGAAGCGAGAGTTTACATGAGAGGTTGCATGAGAGTTGAGAAGCAAGAGTTTGCATGAGAGTTGATGAGATTTGAGAAGCGAGAGTTTGCATGAGAGTTGAGAAGCGAGAATTTGCATGAGAGTTTTCTTAACTCTCATGTCCCGGTCAAACGCGAACAAGAGTTGCATGAAAGTTGATCGAACCCGCGACCTTTCGGATGCTAGTCCGATGCTTTACAAACTGAGCTACTCGAACCGACCTGACCTCGTAGCTCAGTTGGAAGAGCATTGGACTAGTATCCCAAAGGTCGGGTTCGATTCCCACCATGGTCAGGTAAACTTTTCAGCTTGCCCGGTGTGGATGCACACTCAGAGTAACATCACAAACATCATATTCACCTGAGTACATAACACCAACACACACAAAACGTACATTTCTTTCAGGTTCTTGGATGTATTGTTGACGGTGCCGTCGAGCTGGACGATGATGCAAAACCCATTCTGAAAGATGCGTTGGCAATCTTATGTTCCAAGGTAGGTCTCGATAGAACTCGACAGAACTGAATTAACATAATACCAGGTATCCAGGATTATCATGTGAGCAAAATAAAGCAACATGGTTGGCTAACATGGCATGAATTATTAATGAATTTGAGATATTTTCTTCACAGCTGTTTTAGTACTGTGTGAAGGTTCTTGTCGTGAAACCTTTATTTTGTTAATATGAAGCTTGAAATGTCCCTGTATAACAATTTGCAGTTACGGGGACAAAATAGTTTCTCATAAAAACAAAACAATTTTCTTTATTGGCATACTTACTATGATAATTTCTCATTACTTACTATGATAAATTTTGCGATGAAATTTAGCACTGTTTATATCAATGGCAATTGCTAGATAGTATACTTCAAAATAAGGTTTCCGTTTTTATATCAATTTTTAAAATAATTAAAATAAGTTAGGTTTAGGTTAGGGTTAGGTTAGGGTTAGGGTGAGGGGTTAGTATTAGGGTTAGGGCTTAGTTTTGCGTTAGGATAGTTTTTTCTACGTTATAAAAACGGAAACCTTATTTTGAAGTATACTATCTAGCAATCACCTTATATCAATATTTATCCTCCAGAATATCAAGTTATCCTCTACTCACGTTCACGCAGCTGAGGATTTTGCTGATGAAGGAGATGAGGCCGGGGCTGCGATGGCGAATGCCAGGACGAAATTTCTTACTCAGGTTTGCGCAGAAAATTATCCTGCATGGCTGCATCCTCAATTTTTCCAAAACTGACAAATATTGGAAATTTTGAATGGAAGACCACATTTTAATAGTTTACTTCTGTTATGTTACATTCTTAGGTTGTGAAGAAAAATATGATCGAGAATATCGTTCCAATCATTATAGAACTGAAGAACTTGGTATGTCCTTTACGTGTTTTAAAATTGCACACGTAAAAATCTCACAACTTGTCAACAAGATGTGTTCGCAACAGGCTTGTAGCAAGCTTGTCAACAAATTGTAACAATGAATTTTTCTGTGTTGGTGTTGTGTACTCAGGTGAATAATATGTTTGCGATGTTACTCTGAGTGCATATCCACACCGGGCGAGCTTGAAAAATATGCCCGGCCACGGTGGGATTCGAACCTACGACCTTTGGAATACTAGCCAAAAATTCATATTACATATTCACTCGCCCGGTGTGGATATGCACTCAGAGTAACATCGCAAACATATTATTCACCTGAGTACACAACACCAACACAGAAAAATTCATATTACTAGAACACAATGGTATTGAAGGAACTAGATACTGTTCCGAAATATCACTTACTCGAACCGTCCTGACCGCGTAGCTCAGTTGGAAGAGCATTGGGCTAGTATTCCAAAGGTCGCAGGTTCGAATCCCCCCGTGGCCGGGCATATTTTTCAAGCTCGCCCGGTGTGGATATGCACTCAAAGTTGTAACAATGCTGTTATTTTATCAAGTTGCCACAAGGTTGTCACTCACAACTTGTTGACAAATTGTTGAATTGCAGGACGATAACAAGTTGTTGTAACAATTTGTAACAAGTCTCTTGAGCTCAACAACCTTGTAGCAAGCTTGTCAACAAGTTGTAAAAGCTTGTCAACAAGTTGTAACAATGCTGTTATCTTATCAAGTTGCCACAAGGTTGTCACTCACAACTTGTTGACAAATTGTTGAATTGTAGGACGATAACAAGTTGTTGGAACAACTTGTAACAAGTCTGTTGAGCTCGACAAGCCGTTGACAACTTGTCAACAAGTTGGGAACAAGCTGTGCGAACACATCCTGTTGACAAGTTGTTGGAACAGCATTGCTACAAGCCCGCTGCAAGTTTGTTAATACTTGTGTGTTTTTTACGTGTGTACATCAAACTATAACTTTACTTAAACTGGAAATATCTTTCAGCTTGAAAAACAAAGGTCACCACTGCTCAAGGATTTGATGCTTTGTCTGAAGGAAATTATGAAAGATTATCGCGCGGAAGTTCAAGGTAATAGACCTTATGCATAATGACGTCACAAGGCTTGATGCCCGCGAGGAATGCTGGTCTTAGTAGCCATCGCCCGGGAAAATTTCGATGGTGGCCATTTTGAATTGTTTAATTTTCCCGGGCGATGACTACTAAGACCAGCATTCCTCGCGGGCATCAAGCCTTGTGACGTCATTATGCATAAGGTCTATTAATGCCTGTACAAATTACAATCTTGGCCATACTGTAAAGCCAGATTTCAATATGGTCGTAACGGTCGCAATGGTAGACTCACGATTTAATATGACTAGATTATAATAGTTTTCTAACTGTAAACCACATATAAATCATAAGTACTATCTATTTATAATCACTCTGCCTATTTCCAGATCTAAACTGTCGATTTCGGCTGTTGAGAAAGATCGTGACTCAATCTTTACGACCGTATGGAAACCAGGCTTAAGTTAGTAGAAGGGGCTAACTCTGAAAACTGGTGATGGCCTTCACAAAAGATGGCCTTCACTTGAGATAAATGTGTGACAATATTCTGTGCACACGAGCAAGGAAATTTGGCTTAAGTTTCATTCGAAGAAATCTAAATGATGATGCAAACCCTCTATGCGTGCGTAGAATACTCAACCCTAATCCATACATTATCAATTATTTCATTTCACTAGATGTCTTATCAGCAGACAGACAGTTGGCGAACGAGATCGAGTTTGATCTGAGAAAGTTCGAAGAGGAACAGAAGGAATTAGAGAAACAACAAAAAAGAACCACAAATGCATCGCCTTTTGATGTATGTGACGGCTGTTAATACAATAAACTTTATCAGTGGTTGGAATGTCTGGACGCCAGTTGCGACCAAATTTTTCATCTCGCGACCAGATATTTGGCAGGCCTGGAAAATATATTTCTTCCTGGCAGCAAAAATACAAAAATAAAAATTTCCTGTGCAAGTCAAATATAAAACTTATAGTACCTTTCCCCCTTTGAGTGAAATTTTGATCTAGACAAGTCTGGACAAACATGTCATCACAGCTTGAAAGAGCATCACAAAATTAGTAATATTCCGAAGTTTCGTTGCGAAATGTTGTAAAATGCGGATAGTATAGCCTTGCGAAGTTTGCCGTTTTTCAGTCATTTTGCATTACGCGCGGGAAATTGATAATCAGATGATCAAACTGATTACCAACTTCCCATTTGTAATACAAAATGACTGAAAAACGGCAAACTTCGCAAGGCTATATTATCCGCATTTTACAACATTTCGCAACGAAACTTCGGAATATTACTAATTTTGTGATGCTCTTTCAAGCTGTGATGATTTTTTTGTCCAGGCATATCTAGATCAAAATTTCACTCATAAGGGGAAAGGTCTATTGTAGTGGACAAAATTTGGACAATCTCGACTTGCAAAATGCTTTTGTAAACAATGAGTACAATATATGGCATTCCAGTATGTAAGATGACAAAAATTATTTTACACCTGCGTGCAAGATTTTTATGAAAATTTCCTCCGAAGATATTTTGTTAAGAATTTCCTGGCTGCGGTGCTGCTGGCGCTGAAATAAACGTGGTGATATTATTATTGCAATACAAACATTCAAAGTGCTTATATCTTCTTGCACCTATATTTTACAGGCTGCTTCATCCCGAGGAAATTCCACGTCAGGTCGCCAGTCGCTTCCTGCTGTTGGCAGTCCAATGAAGACGGGAGATTTTGTCACACCAGAACTCCGAACTCCTGGTGGATCTGCCATAACTACTCCAGATGGTATGTGTCAGACACTGAGACTGTACCCTCAAACATTTCTTATACAAATCCTTTAAGAGCCATTTTTTTTCAATGTCACGTATTTGCAATGAAAAGTGTTCAAAACCTAAAATCTTTTTGGCGTTCCTCTCAAAATTACTTTGTTCTAGCTTTATTCTCTAGTTTATAGAGTTAGCTACCTTTTTAAATGCATCTGCCGGTTGAGAAACATAAAATAATAGTTAAAAATTGTCAATGAAAATACAATTATCGAAGATGCTTTAAAATTGACGCCATATTTACAGCCATATAAACAAAACTTACTGAACTTCAGACATCATTTTCTCTTTGGCGTATCATCTAAAATCTTTTCATTTTAGCATTATTTTACAGATAAAACACTAAACATACTTTTTAAGTTTGTTTGCCGATTGAGAAACGTATCGAAAAATAAAAATTTTGAATTTAGTCATAACCTCAAGTGGTCTTTATACGCATTAGTTTTGAGCGCGTGTTACGTAACATACAAAAAAATCTCCTCTTAAATTTTCTCATGAAAATTTCTCATGCGAAATTCCCACTGTGACCACAGAAACTTGTGTAAATCAGTCCGGTAAAAACAAATCATCCATCAGGATGCATCGACAACAATCTCGTGCCCGGAGTATGCCCGTTCGCAGGTTAGGTGCTGGACATGCCCATCATCTAACCTGCGAATGGGCATACTCTGGGCACGAGATTGTATCGGCAATGGTGCTCGGAACAAATCATGTCTGATAGTTTGTCTAATACTAGATTATATAGCTAATTCACGTTGTCCTTTGAAAACACTTCTTCCTGGGAGCATAACCTGGAGACAAAAATGTCCTGCAGACCAACGGAGTATTTTTGTGCTAAATCTGCATGTGCATAAACATATAGTGTTCTAGTTGACCATGGTTGTAAATTCAAGGAATAATGTCTGTCAACCATATGTTGTTGTGCCCATAGTGGGACATGGGTGTTAAGGTGTCCTTCGAATTTTCAATAGCAAATCTTCATTCAAACGAATTACCTGCAGCTGTTTAACATTTCCTGCGAACAGTGCTCGCTTATTTTTCCCAACCCTGAATGTAATATTGAATAGTTTCCGTATAACTCGTTCAGTAACGATATAGGCTGAACTCTGTCTTAAAAATGTTTTATTCTATTATGATTTCATCGTTCAGATGGTGTCCCAGCTAATATTCCTTCCACACCAAAGTCAGCAGTACGTCGTCAATCTTTGATCACCACGGCGTTGATGAACTCGGCTAGGAAAGCTATTGAATCTGCTCAGAAAGCAAGTGTAGCTCGGTCAAGACTCGCTTCAGCTGGAACCCCACAGAAAGCAAGCGGAACTCCTGAGAAAGCTAGCAGTGATGGTGGAGGGACTCCTAGGATGCGGTCTGAGTCTGCCGCGGATTGCACGCCGTGGAACAAGCAAAACGGAGAGACGGCATCTAAAGAAGGCGGGAAGGTATAGTAAATGTGATTTATGTACATGTTTTTCACACATGTGATCAGGGCTCGACTCCTGCAATGTGCAATGTGCAATTGTCTGATTATAATTTTGCCAAATTTCTTAATACATGATTTTAATGTGTTTTCGTGCGTTTCAGGTCGATGCAATGAAACCTGTTGGTACGCGTCGTGTTGCAAGAGCCGCTAGCACGCCTGAAGGTTTGTTAAAAATCTGTCATGATTTTTATGCGATCTGGTTCCCTCCTGTAGTAATACTGGTCCAATAAAGGATAGTACACTAAAATTTTCTCTTTAACTCAGGTGACGTAACGCACATGTCAAGAATTTCATTTATCTCTACTCCTCTATCACCGATTGTCAACCTCGTACCTGTCGCTATACCTAAAAACACTAGAGGTATTGCATTATTTATACTCTAAAATTCATTATAGACTTGCATCATAAACATTGAGAAATTCTTAAAGGTTGACAGTTTCTTTTCAACATTTAGATGCAAAGAATAAAGCTCAAAAAGACAAAACAGAAATCTTGTGTTTACCATCTCCTACCCAACCGTAAGTAAAGTTGAAGATAGAAAGCTCAAAAACCTAGAAAATCATGCAGCTTTCATTTCTACTTGTGACATATGGTGTTCTTTTCCACTGTATAGGGCACCTAAGCCAAGGACATGGAACATTACCTCACCTGTAAGTATATAAGGGAAGGAGGGTGGGGTGGGTGGATAGATGGAGGGAGGGAAGACGAAAGAAGGGGGGTGTGGGTGGATAGATGGACGGAGGGAAAACGAAAGGAGGGAGGGGGTGGGTGGACAGATCGAGGGAGGGAAGACGAAAGAAGGGAGGG